GGGGGGGGGGGGGGGGGGGCTTGTTTGCTTGACAGTGACTTGGGTCCCAAGGTGGAGTGAAAGTTTGACCCCAAACTCTGGGAAGCTGGGGGAAAATGAGGCCCTCTTTACCTGGGGCTCTGTTGGCTCACTCTGAAAGGAACTACAAGGAGCTTCTGGCTCTTCTAACAGGTTGCTTGCCCTGCCTAATTTACACCACTGAATGTCAGACTGAAGCCCCTGGAACTAGACTTGCAACTTGACACCTGTCTCTAAGAGCTGCTATTTCTAAGCTCGGTTTAGGAACCTTGGCATTAACAGAGCATTTACTTTAATAAATCACAATTTATCTAATAACTTGTACTCAAGTGGCGTGTTCATGTCACATTAAGTGATTTGGATTTGTCCTAGTGTTTTCAGATCCCAAAACTGCCTGAAATGCATTCCAGTGAATTAAAAAAAAAAAAAAAAAAGAAGAAGAAGGGTGCCCTGTAGCTTAGATCAGTTAAAGAAAACAATGTTTTAGAAAACAATGGGAACAATCAACCCTTGAATTTTAGGGGTAGGGTCTTGTATTGTCATGTGAATAAGTCACCAGAGGGTCTATTTTAAGGTAGAATTTTGTGATGGTGAAGGAGGTTGGCAGACCTCCTGAGCCTATTACATTTCACTCTTAGAAGTAAGACAATTCATCTTAGTAGAGAGCTAATTTGTGAGACCCTGTGGAAATGGAATTAGTCCAAAAAAGGGGATGGGAGTAGAATTAGCCAAAATCATTAATCAAGCACAGTGAAGGCAAAGAAACAGGTAATCCTTGTCTGTCAAACTGATTACAATATCTGTATTTTGGGGGGAAGTGGATTTACTTATTTTCTTTTACTAAATTTTGAAACTGGCGGGAGGTTGGAGTGGCTCCTTGCTCTCCTAATGCCGTCCTCCGCTCTACATTTATTTTTGATACTATAGGAATAAATTGGTCTTTGGGGTTGTCTTTTAAAATCTGGTAAGCAAAAGCAGTTGCTAGGGGGTCGGGGCCGTCCCACTGACCTGCATTTAGACTGTTGTAGAAATAACGCACTGTTTTTTGAATCAGGGTCTAAGTAAATACTTGCAAGGTAGCATGATGTGACAGAAGCAGGGGTGAGGAGACTAGACCTCATCCCAATTTTCTCCCTGATTGTGGTCATGAGTGTCAGTTTTCTCATTCAAAATTTAGGAGAGCTGGATTAGGTGATTTCAGCAGTCCCTTGGAACCCAATTCAGTTCAGTCCTGAAAATCCTTCTTGCCCTCTTATTATGGGCATGGCACTCTGCTAGGCAGTGCAGGGAGATTGTACAAAGATGAACAAAAGACCTCTGCCCAAGGAGTTTGAGACACACGCACACTTTTCTTTAATAAAAGGTAAAGTGGGTATCTCAAGAAGAATCTCATTTCCCATTGTGCTCTTTGGACTCAAAGGAGGGATGATTGCGTTAGGTTTGTGTATTGAAGAGAGGCTTCACAGAGGGCACTGCATGGAAATGGGTGCTCAAGAAGAGGAAGGATTTGGGCCGATGGTGGTGGTGGGGGGGGGGTGGGGAGACAGAAGAGACAACATGAACAAAACCCCAGGTACGTTTATTTAGCTGCACAGCGGGTTCAAAGGTAGAACATATTTAGGGCAGTAGTGGGAGAGGTGCTAACTGGGCTCATACTGTAGAACAGGGCCCGGCCCTTCTCACCGTCATGGCGCACACAGAAAGCAGCAACACGTTTAGGTGCTCTGGGGTAAACAGATGAGGCTGCTCATGTCTGGTGGGAACCGGTTTGGGGGCGTGGGCTCTGGCCAGAGGCAGCTGGAAGCAACCAGTCTGGAGCTCCGCCCCATACCTCTCCTAGCTGCCCCCCAAGCACTGAGGAGATCAGTATCTGGGTAGACCTGTGATCCACAGCAAGCCACTACGAAGGCTCTGAAGAGGCCGGTGAGGAGTTTATTCATTGTATGGAGTGAGGAGCCATCGAAGATTCATTGTTAACTGGAGAGTGGGCGTTAATACAGTTGAAGGATGTCTTAAAGGAGAAGACATTAATCATTTTATTTTTATTTTTTAGTGATCTTTCTCAGGTTTTTCAACCTTACACATTTAGAACTCGGAGGAATAGTACAACGATTATGAGCCGTCATACCCTGGTAAGTATAGAAGTAAGTATTTTTAGTGGTATGGCTTGGGGAAAATACTTCCAGACGTAGTTCGTTCTTAAGAGGATGTGCTATGTACCATCGTTCACTAAAGAAAAAAAATGATTTTACCTATCTTGCTCATTCTGTGGCCCTTGTCAGCTTTTGGTGCAAAACAGAGATCTGCTTAAGACTTTTTTCTCGGCTGTGGGACTTTGTGTTTTTAAAAATTGTTCGTTGTTTTTTTGTCACTGCTTGCATGATGGTTATGAGGGAAGTCAGGATTAACTTCTAAATATAGCTGAGAAAAATGGTCTTTATTTATCCCAGGAAGCAAAAAATCGTTTAGACATTAGCCGAGTATTTCTGACACTTACCTGTTGGACAGTGCTATGTATCCAAAGTGAAATCTCCTTTAAAATGCGTGTATTTATATTCTCGGTAGAGTTGCTAATTGTGACTGTTCTAAATAGCCCGAGCTGTCAGGGGTCACCCTATTAGTTGGACGCATTGGGAGAGATTATGATGAGGTTTTTAATATAGTAGCACTTCACATGTGGAGCCCACTTAGCCAGTAGCTGCATCACTCTGAAAGACATCTGAGATGTAAGCAAACAGACCTCTGAATGGCCGCACTAGATTTCCATAGTCTGTGCACAAAGGTTCATCAGTTTGTTTACAGGAGAGCCTCTGACCTCCAAATCATCTAAAATTATGCACAATCATAATAAGCTTCCAACTCAGTAGTGTGTGAGAAGCAGCAAATCAAAAGAGGTGCATTCGGGCTTAAGGTATACTAATAGCTGCTAGCAGAGGAGGAGAGGGGAAAACTGAAAAGCAGACCGGTTTTTAACAACGCAGTCTGTGGCTTAGCATAAGGGCTAAGAGCCTGTTAATGGTCCCTGAGGGTCTCACTGGCACTGAACTGTAAAATACTTGATGTTCTTAAGGATACCTGGGTCACTAACTTTTTTTCAAATTGTAGTGTACCATACCCTGTGTCTTTATGGTATTCTACATGTTACCGAGTCCTTTCACACTTTTAATCCTCATAGCCACCCCCTGCGAAGTAGGCAGGGCCAAAGATGTCCTTACCAGTTCAAAGAGGCAGCAGCTAAGACTCAGCTGATAGAAATGACTTGCTCAGAATCACACAATTGCTAAGTGGCGGAGCTGGGATTAGAATAGAGATAGGTCAAGGCCATTCTGGTTGGTAAAATCTGTTTAAGAAAGGAGAAATGAAATACACTTTTAAGGAAGATTTCCAGCTGAAGTGGCTAGAAATACTTAAAAGGGGGAAATGTTAGCTGTCTGGAGGTTTGATTTACCTCACCTTCTTCCCCGAGGATACTGGAAAATAGAACGGCTTCATTTCGCCCTGTAGATGAGAAATGTTTCTGCTTGTTACACAGCCATGCTCCCGATATCAGTAGTATAGCAAAGAAGGGAAAATGAATTCGCCTCTCTACACTTGACTTTGCTCTTTTCTAAGATGTGAAAATTCTTATCAACTCTGTCTTGATTCCTCTCTCCCTACTTCCTGACAGATACGTTTTGCTCTGGCTGCACTAAAATGCCTATTTCGCTGAAGGGGCCACATTGGTTCACTGCTCTTTGTGGATCCTTACGTTTTCCTTCCCTCCATCCCCTTCTCCTTTTGAGCTTCCTGGTTTGGGATGCCTTCCGGAGCACCCTTCGGGTACTTCGATCATCGGATGGGTTATACCACGTGTGTTCAATCACAGTGTCCTCTATAAATCTTAATACGCTTACCCACCTCTCAGATTAACCTGCAAAAAAGCAAGGTGTTGAATGAAATGGAAAGGAGCGACGCAAGATCTGCAGGAGTTGTCTGTGCAGGATCTGACAACTGATTAGGTGTAAATGCAAGGGGAAGGAGGACTCCAGGGGACTGAACTTTTATTTCTTAGCGGCCAGGGGAAAAGCGTTGCCTTTATTATGAGTAGGGAAATTTCAAGGAATTGGTCATCTGAAGGGCCGGGAGATAAATTCTGGGCATGTTGGGCCCAAGGTGCCTGCCACTTACTCTGTGCTGTTCTCCAAAGCAATATTCTAATTAAAAATTGCGAGCTTCCTAGACCTTTCACTTTCAGTGGCTGACCCTTCTCTGTGAAGGCAGACGGTCATCTTGTATAAATGTCAGCTTTCTTACTCTTAAGATGTCGTTACCTTCACATGTGATGTTTTCTCCAATGGTTCCTAGATTTTCTGTCTCTTGTCACTTTGCTTGGTCTGTTGTCTCCACTCTAGTCCCCTCCTCCCTGGCTTTTTCGCTCCTGCCTTCTTCTCCTGACTCACACATTGAATATCTGGAACACAAACTTGTCTTTTTCCCTACGTCTCTCTTTGTTTTCCCTTGAACCCTCCGAGCTTCTACAAAGCCTAATCTACACCCAGCTGCCTCCAGCTCCTTGTTTCCCAATTTCTTGCCAGCTGCTCGACCAGTTTGTGATCTCACTGCTCCCACCACCATGCTATTAAAAAACTGTTCTTGCAAAAATCACCAGTGCCCAGCGGCAGGGGCCTCTTTCCTTCTCCTACTTAGGCTCTTCGCTTTACTTAACACCATTAACAGCACCTCCTTGAAGTGCTTGGCTTTCTTCTCAGTTGGTACATTGCTCTTGTTTCTGGTACAAGACCCAGCATTTCTCCTCCCTGTCTTCCTTTTGGGTCTTCCTTCTAGTTCTTAGTTGACAAGTTGTACATTATATAGATGCAGCATCTACATTTCTGACTTCCTCTACTGTCAGCTTTTTGCACTCTTTACTTTGGCTTTCCTGATGATTTCGTTGCCCCTGGGGTTTCTTTTGTTCTCTGTCACGTCCATGTTCTCTGCCACGCCACGGTATCCTGTTAGTGTTTCCTGCCTTAGAGACTTGCCTCGTGGCCCAGTGCTTTTCAAATGGCCTTATTAAGAGTTTAGTGGTAAACACGTGTTATTTTTATGAGTGGAAAAAAAAACACTTTTGCAAAGGATTTTATTTGTAAAGTTTTTCTATTTTCAGAGCCTAGGAGAGGAAAGAGAAAGAGAAAAGGGTGGGTACTGAAGAGATATCCTTTGAGGTCAAATCATATTTCAGTGTCTAACTTTTAAAAATGGCACCTGGATTAGCTTTTGCCTAGAAAACTTGGAGCAGTTTATCGCCATTTTATTCTACTCACTACCTTAGGGTTTTTAGAAGTTTTAATAGGATAGGGCCTCTTGTAACTGGATTGTGGTCTTATTTGTCTTACAGCATTACAAATTTGTTTGCGTTTCATTAGGGAGTAAATAGCAGTTGTTAACATTATGGCTATTAGAACCCTGTAAGGTCTCTTGAGATGAATTCTACCTTTCATTCTGGGATCAGATTGTGTTTATTTTGAAGGAACATGATTTGGCCCCCAGGCCATTTTAGCCTTGTGTTGTCAAAAAATGATGCTCTAAGGGAAAGGAATGGTTATTTGAAAAATACGCATTGCCGTCCACGTTGATTTTTTTTCTTAACTAGTAAGGTTTGTGGTGTATATTCTACCACAGTGGTATATGTAGTGGTAGTGACCAAATTTTAGAAGTGATTTAGAGGATACAAACAAAATCTCCCTATTGCAGATTTGAAGTGTTTTCGATAAACACTAATAATAGACAAAATACTCTACTGGGCTTCTTTGCCTATCTTCCTCCATGGGTGCATTGGTGTTAAAAATGACTACAAGTTTTTTCTTTCCCTTCTTACCTAGTTCTTTATTTTAGATAAGTGGGGTAATGGATATTTCCAAGGCCTGGGATCTTTTTTTACATGAACGTACACAGCTCTGCATTCATTTGGGAAAAGTGTTAAAGTCAGTGCCTGTCTTGCGACAGATGGTGCTTTGAGGTTGGACACCTGGTGTACTTTCCAAACACCGAGTGTCCTGCCTCTGGTGCATTAATGTTCAGTGATCTAAAGCGCTAGAACTCTGAGAAGAATGTGAAATCTTATTTGGGAGGAGGTTGGACACTGGTACTGACAGCAGACGCTGCTTTGTGATTCAGACAGTAGTAAGTGTTTACTTTTCCTTTCCAGTTGCTGTCGTCGTCACCAAATCGCGTTCCTAGTAGCAGACTGCATCAGATCAAAAGGGTAAATTCTACTTCCTAGCTCAGCTGCAGTTGTCTGAATCTTCCATTTGGATTTTATTTTCATTCTGAAGATGTAGATATTAAAAATGAGTCCACTCTGGGTGGCCATAGACAGATACAAATTCTTCTGAGTGTGCGTGCAGGTGAAACACAGATGTGGCCTGGGTGACAGTCTTAGCATGTGCTGCTGTACTGTAACTATGTCAAAGACGGTAGAAAAGTCTTTTATTTATTTATTTTTTGGTAGAAAGAAGTCTTTTATTTAAAATTTTTTTTTTCAACGTTTATTTATTTTTGGGACAGAGAGAGACAGAGCATGAACGGGGGAGGGGCAGAGAGAGAGGGAGACACAGAATCGGAAACAGGCTCCAGGCTCTGAGCCATCAGCCCAGAGCCCGACGCGGGGCTCGAACTCCTGGACCGCGAGATCGTGACCTGGCTGAAGTCGGACGCTTAACCGACTGCGCCACCCAGGCGCCCCGAAAGAAGTCTTTTAAATTGTACTTTGAAGTAGAGAACTGTGTGGATGTGGGTAAATACTGTGTTTTCAGCATGTGCTTGTCTTCGTAGGAGGAAGGCATGGATATGATGAACAGAGAAACTGCACACGAACGGTTAGTGCTTCACAAGAACAGAGCAGAGCCTAATGTATGTCTTGCTTCTGAGCACTGACGGCCTGTCATTTTTATTTGTTTTAGGGAAGTGCAGACAGCAATGCAGATCAGCCAGTCATGGGACGAGAGCTTGAGCCTGGTAAAGTTCTCACATGTTTGCTTGGTTTTGATTTTCTGGAAACCTTTATGTCATTCATTGGCTTCATTACTTTTTTTCAGACACTTCTGTCTCCCCCATTTCCAAATTTGTATTCGGTTTTTGATCTCTGCTTTTCCGCCAGGATATTAGATTGCTACTGTTTAGTGTCTGCATTTCTATTCTAAAAGTGTAGGCGTGTTTGAGTAGTAAAGAAGAACTGTGATGGGCTGAATTGTGAATTACAAGGAAATAACATTTTATGTTTACAGAGTGATAGCGATTTTGAGAAGCCGGAGAAACTATATTCTCCTAAAAGGATTGACTTCACTCCAGTTTCTCCGGCACCATCACCCACCAGAGGGTTTGGAAAGGTAGGCTCCTTGACAAGGTGTTAGCTGTCTTTCACACACTGAGCTGTTTACTCTAAAACACACACGCGCGCACACACACACACATACACACACACACACCCACACACACACGCACAAATTGCCTCATTTTTTAAAAAATCCAATGACTGGAAGGAAAATCCATGAAAGTTTCTGATAGTAACTTGAAGAAAATGGTACGTCAGTCTAGGTACATATTCTCACGCGTGTGTGTTTCTGCGTATGTAAAATATACACACACAGCTAAGCAGTTCTAAGGATGTCGTTTCTATTATTTTGAGAACTTTTTGAAAGCCAGAGCACTAGAACTATTTTAATATTAAATATGCTTTTTTCTAGCAATGTTTTTCACCATCCTTACAAATGTTTGTGAGCAGCAGTGGGCTGCCGCCAAGTCCCGTGCATAGTCCAAGACGCTTTTCCAGGTAAGTCAGCCTACTTTTCGAAAAATGTGGTTGAAATGCTACACGTTCAATTTGTGTCTCCCGATGACCTTTTTCCCCAACATTTTCTTATGGAAATTTTCCAACAGACAACAAAATTGGACACAATGAACATCCGTATACCTACCACCTATATTCTAGCAGTAACGTTTTACCAGAGATGTGTTTGTTGAGACATGGTGCCAGAGAACGAACCCACGTACACACGCACACGTGCATGCGCGCAATAATCTATCCTTTGTAAGGATAAGGAAGGGGAAGGGATAGTGGCAGTCAAATCCAAATAGTTTTTTAATAAGGTTTATCTGTTTTGAAAAAACTTGTGGATATTTTATATTACAGAATTATTTTTTTTAAGTTTTTTTTTTTATTATTATTTAAGTAATCTCTACACCCAATGTGAGGCTTGAACTCATGACTCTGAGATCAAGACTTGCGTGTGCTTCCGACTGAGCCAGCCAGGTGCCCCTAGACGATTTTTTAAAATAGCTTAAAATGCCGTGTTTTTTCAGATTATCATATTCCAGGTCAGATCATGTATTGGCAGTTCAGTTACTCAACTTACAACACAGGCATTTTCCATTTTTTTCTACATGACTATCAATTTTATTGATTTATTTGGACTATAATGTTTGTCTTGCATCTTAAAAGTACTTCACATCATCCTGTTTGTTTATTCTTTGAAGCAGGAGGAGTCAGAGTCCAGTCAAGTGCATTAGGCCCAGTGTTCTTGGTCCTCTTAAAAGAAAAGGTAAGTGTCCCACTTCTGATATTAAACCTAGTTGAGCTTCAATGACAAATTAGAATTTCTGTCTGAAAGTAGCTCAAGGCGTGATTCCTTTTTTCTGAAGAAATAGGAAATATTCTTCCCAATGTATGCTTTACTGATTCTGAAGTTTGTAAATTGGTTACTTAACACTGTCCATATTTTTTACACTTCACAACTGAATCTTATTCATATGTTAATATTACCAATATATATTCCAAAAATTTTGCCTCTCAGTGATCTGAATAGAAAACAGATGCAAGTTAATATGTTGCAGAAGTATGTGCTTATGTCACAGCGAATAGGTCTATAAACATGCTGTATACTCAAATGCCTAGCCCCCGGAGTCTATTTTCAAAAGGCAAAAAAAAATTAATGCACGTTTAGTCATTATTCCTGGGCCTGTATCCATGTGATTGCAAGTGTTGGGGGTCATTTTAAATGAGAGTTTTAGTAATAATTTTGAAAAAGCAATGCACTAAGTGATTTCTTTGTGTAGATCTCTGTGGGGGCCAAGAAAC